AGAATAAATATACAATTTTTTAAAAAATAATATATAAACCAATATATGAAACAGGGTTTTAAAAACATATAATTATGTATTATTGGACAATAACAAATTAACTCAAAAGTTATATTATTATTAATATATAATATTGTAGAGAAAGTATAATACTTAAATGTAAAGCCGGCATGTCAGATTCAAGGCATATGGAGGGCTGCATCAGCAAAATATATGCAGCCTCGAGGGCCGCACTTTTGCTTACAGTCTTACATTAATCACAGCTAGTAGTAACTAAACTTTAAATACAAAATACAATACAAGGTAGTAGAATTTAATCATTTTTATGTTGTCCTGATGATTGACATCGTTTTAGACAAAACTATTCTCGATATATCAGGTTGGAATGTTTGTGCAAATCCCACTTTGATCAAAGGTGACAAATGTTCATCAGTTAATCTGGTTCTGTGAGACGTTTTTGTGGTATTCTTAAATGAAAATAACTTCTCACAGACATATGTGTAACCAAACATCGCCATACTCTTTGTGGCAAACTTTATGAAGTTCTTAAATGTCTGAGGAAGTTATGAAAAAATCCGGGTACCCCCTACTTCTAGGTACTTTCCCTTGAGTGTTGAGTCAGTCTGCATTTCCAGTAGTTCCATCTGTAGACTTTCTTCTACCTGAGCAATATCAAAAGTGAATGGTGCTGAAAATAATGCAAACTGATCTTCACAAGATGAAAAATCGCAAAATCTCCGCTGAAATTCCTTTGACAGCAATTCCGGGTAATTTTCGTACTTAGCAAAGATAAATACAGACACAGCATTGGCAGTTTTTTTCAACTCCTTGCACATACATTGTTTTCATGTGACAACTGGGACTTCAATAAAGCTAATTTTGCAATGAAATACTTGATATCATCATATAACTGAGTGATGAGATTATTTTTACCTTGTAATTTCAAATTAAGGTCACTTAATTGGGTAGTAAGATCCATTGAAAAAGCTAAGATATTGGAGCCAGTTTTCATCTTTCAATTCATCTGTGCTTTGAAACTTCATCTCCAAAAACATAACAGTTTCGTGTCGCGATAAAAAAAAATCTTTTCAGTACCTTATGACATGAAAGCCACCGAACTTCTATGTAGAATGGGACATTTGTAAACTTATTATTCACGTCTTCCAATAACTGGCTTAACTGACGGCGACCTCTGATATAGTTCACTGGTTTTATGACAAAACTCAACACATGATCTAATTTTAAAATCTTAGAACATAAGTTCTGTTGGTGAATTATACAATGAAAATACTTGCAAGTTGAATCTGGATTTTCTATTTTTGTACCTAACTTGGCAGCAACACCATTATGTCTCCCAACCATATTGGCAGGACCATCAGTAGATAACCACACGTTTACTCAAATCAAGGCCATACTCATGGAGAATCTGTTCAACTTGCTCAAAAATGTCCTGGTTTGTTGTTTGATGCATTGGGACCAGTTCAATTAGTTTTTCATAAATTTGAAATTCATTGTCACAAGCCCTGATGAAAACGGCGAGCTGTGCTATTCCAGCTATGCCAACAGTCTCATCCAGAGCAATAGAAAAATGTTCCAAACTTGATGATAGTCTTCAACTGTCTCAATATTGGCAGTTTTAAAAGTCTTCAAATCACCTGCCATTTCATCAATTCGTTCAGCAACAGTGCCCTGCCTAATGAAATGTCTTGAAATAAGTGTGACTTCTCTGCACATACAATTTCACTTGTTTTTACAAGACATCACTTTATGAAATCTCCTTCACTGTAAGATTTTCCACTGATGGCGATCATTTTGCAGAGTTAAAAGTTTGCAGTAACAGAACTAACGTTGCCTTTCAGAATATTTGTAAAGCAACTTTGTTGCTGTGTTAACTTAACCTTGAATTCCTTCACTTTTGAAACACGCATATCTCCTTCATATTTATCATAAGATCTATGGTTTGTTTCACAATGTCTTTTCACATTATATTTTTTTGGCGTTGCAATGCAGTGGTTACACATCAAACAGTTTTTCTTTCCATTAACAATGGTACAAAAGTACTGTAATTCCCACTTTTCTTGAAACACATCCTTCTTCAGATATTTTTCTCTATTTACGAGATGGAGTAGAATTCGACATTTTAAGGCAAAATATTACAAAATTACGAACGTTTTCACATTACTTTAAATTTTCTTTAGTTGTTCGTGGCTTGAAATCGGATACTCATTTATTTATTTAGTTTAACTGTATTTATCTATAAACTTGTACCATGACTTGATTATTGAACAATCGATTGACGTGGAAAGGATGTCCATACTCACCTTGCTGAAAATCATCAATAGGTCATCTAGTTTGCCATGAATGTCTCCACAGATAGTAACTTTGCGTAATATTGAAGTAGACAGAGTGTTAAAGTTGCCATGTTTCTGGAGAACGGATTTTGTCGCGTTCAGAAGCTCGACAAGATATTTCGCGTGAAGTATCTGGTGATAGCAAAAACAAAAAAACAAACAAAAAAAACAATCAAAATTATTAATGGCGACTTTCACTGCAGTCATTAATGTCTACCTTTCGGCGTACTTTATGCACATTGTATGTTTTATCATCTTCTCTTCGAAATGCTACCCAGTCTGTTGGGGTTCAAAATGTCTGACTGCACCTCTGTCGAGAGGTAACCCCCTCCCGCAATGTGGCCACCTATTTTCCGTGGGTGGCAACCCATGATGGCTGATAATGACATCCTGGTGTGTGACGGCTTCAGAAGGAAGTTGTTTAAACTCTTGAACCCCAACACACCACTTTGACCCTTACTTGGGCTAGATGACCGTTCGGAGAGGCCCGATCCGATCAACTGGCTGGTCATAACAAGACTTTGATCGGATTTTTGTAAAAACCCGAATCAGAAGTTGGTGACTGTAGAATCATTCATGCTGAAGAGAGATCGACGATTTCTAATTATCCCTAGGCAAGTAATTATCTTGAGAATAAAAACCAAGAGATTCAAAGTAGCTAGTTGCTTTCTCCAGTGTGAGTATACTGGCTGTGTAACCCTGATTTGCCAAGGAGAATGTTTTCTCTTGTAGGGCTCCGTGGTGGCTTGGAAGCACACGCATATATATATGGAATCATATTTTTAAATAAATAATTATATTATATATATATATATATATATATATATATAATATATATAGATAGATCCTAACCTTTAATACACCCATACCACCAACTGAAATAAAAAATGGCTATTGAATAGGCAAGGTGGATAAATATATCCAAAATTCAAGACTGTGCCATAACTGTCAAAGATATGGTCGTTTAAGGAAACCATTTTATTGTATTAACACCATGCATTGTCCGGAATCTTTTTGCTTTCAATGTTCTGCTCCCCTGATGAGCGTGGTGGTGAGAAACCTGAGTAGTGATCTGAAATTGTTTTCTTTTGTCACTTTGCAGGCTGTATGTTGGTGGAGTTAGAATTGCAGGTTTTACCAATACTTTGGTTTTATATATATATATATATATATATATATATATATATATATATATATATATCAAAAATAGATGATTATAGCATGGTTTGGGAATTTTTCCTCTGTTCACTCGTTTTTGAGTTTTGCCGTGAATGTGACTTACGCTAAATTCAAATTCACTGGAACAAATTTTTAATATATGTCATGACACGAAGTTGTCTGATTATAAAACCTAGACAATTTCCTTATGTGCAGATACAGGTTGCTAGATTATTTCGTAATATGTGTCGAAGTCTGACGTTCAAATTTCCTAAGAAGTAAAAACGAAAGAGGTGGGTATATAATTTAACATAATACTAACTAGTTATATGCTTGTTCAGCTTCTTACAATACAAAGCAATATTAAATCAAAATGAATCATACAAACTGGATAGCAAGCCATATAAGGTGGACAACAGTTCATCTACTGATTATTACTATAAGAAAAAGTATTATAAAATTCAAAGTTTAAACATATTGCAAGGTAAAAGTTAAGTTATGCCTACAATTTCCAGTCAATTCATTTCTTTGGTTTAATAAGGAATTTTTATCAGAAAATCTGATAATTTCTAATTTTCCATTTAAGCACAGAAAACAGGGTTCATTTAAAGATTTTACCTTCGGAGTATTATTAGCTTCTTTTAAATTCAAAAAAATTTGGAAAGAGATGTACTGTTTTTATAAGTACTATTGGTGAAGGATAAATATGTTGATACCACCTAGTCATAAAAGAATTCCTACTAATGAAAAATTTTTAAGGAAAATTACATATGCAGACCCCTGTCAACCTAAATATTTTAAACCATAATGAAAATAAACATTGAGAAATCAGAAAAACAAAAGAAAATCTAAAATTAAAAAAAACACCTAACAAAAATTACTTTTCCTCAAAATACTTCAAAGTGAAAAAAATCAACCGAAGTTAAATGGATGAAATTATGACGTGTAGGTTTGAAACTGTTATTGAAAATTGTTCCGCAAACAAACCACACACACACACACACCTATCAAACAAAAACGAAGCACATATACCCATACATACGAGTACAAATAGTTGCAAACATATACACTTCCGTACGTACACATGCAGTATCATCCACACATTCATGAGGCATGTATGTATAATGCGCGTATGTTTAACTATCTTTAGATTTCTGCTACCTCGCATGTCAGTCCCTCCCTGGCCTCTTTCACTTTATTGTTCCTTTCGCTTCTGTTATCTTTTAATGTAGCCAAGGGTCATAACAAATATGTATCCATTATTTGACATTAAACGTAGGCAACGCAACTTGGTAAAATAAGTCTCATGAAAGATAACTGGCAGATAGTCTAATTCGAAAGCCTTGTCTTTCATGTTAAAAATAGAGTCATTAGTAATCAGGCTTGCAGGCCGGTCAAAATGCCTTCGCAGGCCGGATCTGGCCCGCGGGCCGTAGGTTGCCGACTCTTGATTTACACGGATAGATTCCAGTTAGGAAAAGTTGAAACACTTTAAACTAAACTTTCTCTGACCTCGCAGATGAGAGAGGGGGCCATTGACCTCATTTCACCCACAATGGGAAAAAGTTCGTATTTGAAAATTGACCACAAGAAAAAATAAGAAACGAATAGTGAAACGAAAAAGTTAGTCTTGTCCAGGCATTCGGGCCGGACGGATGTGTTTGTGAAAATACGTGAAAGAAAATTCATCTTCGAATGGAATAGATGGATGCGTTTGCTATGAACGCAAAAGTTTTGATTGGTTATGCAGAAAAGGAAAAGTCCCTCTTCGAACCTCGAACGGACGACCAAATGCAAGCACGATGAACGCAAAAGAAATGTTTGGATTCTGGGAAATAAACTACGACGTACGCGGAATGCCGCTACATCGGGATGAAAGAGAGATAGAAGACAGCTTCAATTTATCCGTCACCCAAGTCCCGAGACCAGAAGCTTATAGAAAAAGAAAAGAAGAAAGCAAGAAAAAATCTCAAAAAGAGATACTTATGGGAAAAGGAAAGAAAGGAAGAAAAGATCTCAAAGGAGAATGCTGCCACACCGAGACGAAGGAAAGAGATAAAGCAGTTCCAACTTAATCGTCACCCAAGAAAAGAAAAAGAAAGTAAAAAAAAGACCACCTCAAACGAGAATGCTGTTACACTGAGACGAAGGAAAGAAAGCAAGAAAGCAGTTTCAACTTAATCGTCATCCAAGCCCCTAGACAGGACGAAAAGAAAAAGAAAGAGATAAAAAAGGGAGTAGATATAAGAGACATTAGTGGAAAAGAACTTTTATTAAAAGATAAGTTCGTTGTTTCTATTGTGTTTCATTTGCTTTCAATGTACTTCCTTTTCATGTTTGTACTTTCATGCAAGTTTAGCATGAGATTCTTTTTACTACTTTCTTCTTTCTACTTGTCTTAAAATGTTGATGTTTTGTAAATTCGTGCAAGTGTGGCACAAGGCCATAGGTTGATTTGTGATTTACCTTTCTAAGAGGATGTTCCCCTCCTACTATTTTGTCCACAATGTCACGATGTTTATTTTTGACATATTGGTTTGTTTTGTTTTTTTTTGCTTGTTTTGCCCGTTTTTTTTTTTTATTTCTCCCATGTTTTTGCGTTTGTTAATTAATTTATATTCCTTGTTTCTATCGTTGTTTGTCGCCTATTGTGTTTGTTCTTTCATCGATTCCACTCGGCCGTGTCTGATCAATCGGAAAGAGGCCTTTGGGAAAGAAATATATTTTACGAATATTGAGAAAAAAATAACACAGATTATGACCCTCCACTACCTCCGCTATCGATAGGGTTGGAGGACGGGGAAGGGTCGTAAGAATATATATATAATATATGAGAATGATAGTGCAATACTGAAGAAATGTAACAACATCACAAACATTGAAACCATTCTAGCAAAGATACAATTTAGGTGGGCTGGTCATGTTGCGAGAATGGATGAGCATAGGCTTCCAAAAATGGTGCTGTATAGACAATTACCAAACCCCAAGCGTTCAGTTGGACGTTCAGTCTTATGCTACAAAGATGATTGAAAGATAACTTGAAATGTCTCAACTTTGATCTAAAAACCTGGGAAGCACACGCATCAAACCGAAAAGAGTGGCGTAAGATATGTTTCATCAAGTTAAAGGGTTTTGAAGATAGACTCAAGCATCGCGATCAGATTCGTCAAGCTCTGAAGTAGAGAACCCATCAAAATCCTGCTTTAACAAGTTTCATTTGTCAGTGTGGCTTTGTCGCCCGCAGCAAGGCTAGGCTAGTATCGCACTTAAGAAAGCACAAATGAAATGTTTTTCCCTTGCCTGATTTCCTCCACAGTAGCCCCTTCTAGCATGCATAAGTGTAAAACGAAAGGCTGCTCTGACACTCATTTTTCGTTCACGATAGGAGAGTCCATCATATATATATATATATATATATATATATATATATATATATATATATATCTATGTATGTTCTTGAAATAGGGTATAGAAAATAGAAAATGCTTCATGAAAATAGATTTTATTATACATTTCGCCCTTTAAAGCATCATCAGATCCCAAACCGAAAAATATGTGTGCATGTTTATTTGTGTGTATACTTAAATAATGAATTTTGGTACTTTTCCCAAGCTCGTGATATATATATATATATATATATATATATATATATATATATATATATATATATATATATATATATATATATATATATATATATATGTGTACACACACATATACACATACATATACATAAAGACGTTGGTTAGATCCAGTGACAAGACCCAAAGAGTGTGAGTTCAATATCCGGTTAAAGCAGTGGAGAACTTTCAGAGGGAATATTGACAGGAGACAACTGATAACTGACATCCATCAAACACGGCACGTGGAACTCGAACAGTCTACCCCAGTGAGCGAAATAAAGGGTTCAGTTCGAAATTCCAACCACCTGAAGAACACCGGAGCGTACAACGGCCGAAACGTTGTGATAAATATGGCGACAAAGATAAGGACAATAGTCCGAATAATGTAAATAATGTACACATATACACATACACACATATATATACACACATATATATACACACCTACATATATACACACACATATATACACATGTACATACACACATATATATATACACACACATATGTACATACACACACACATATATATATACGCACACACACACACACACACATATATACACACACATCTCTCAACTATCCAAGACGAAGACAACCAACACAAAGCAATGTACAGAACAGAAAAGCTTAAAACAAAAAGAAATACAAAAGTGTCATGAAAGCTATGCAACCACTAATGGCAGGTAGAAAGAATGGCAGGTAAAAATGATTTTCTGTTTAGGTGATTGAAAAGAGAGACAATGGAAAGGAAATATAGACAAACAAAAGACTATTACAAACTGGAGGACACACACACTATATATATATATATATGTGTGTGTGTGTGTGTGTGTGTGTGTGTGTGTGTGTGTGTGTGTGTGTGTGTGTGTGTGTGTGTGTGTGTTTTGTAGCAGTAATAAAGTCAAATAGCCATGTATCTGGTCAAATCTCTTAATCCAGAAGGAATTCTGGAGCACATCCTCTGCTTCTGAAATATGTGTGAAATGTTTAGAATCCAGTATTACCCTTTCCTTATTAAAATAATTTTTCATTATACCCTTTTTAACATACAGTGATGAGTATTATCACTAAATATTCTCATAAATATTCTCACCTGATTTAAATTAGATTTGTCTTTCTTCTCCAAGGTATGTTGCCAATAACATAACCAATATAGATGAGGAATTGTGAGGCTTTAAAAATTTGACTAGCTTAGAAATGTGGGATATAAAGAATCAATCAGATCAAATCAAATCCCCTTAATTCTAAAAAATAGAGTATTATGTAGATATTTAATTACAAGGGAGCATCTTATCAGCTGTGTCTTTTACAAATTGTTTCTTGTGTTAAAGTATTAATTCCTTACAATTAGATCTTTTAAAAGAAATGTCACTGATTTTCATTTGAGGTAAGTTATGAGCTTCATCCCACTGATCTCAAGGAATGAATCTTAGATCATGTTATTATCATGCCAATAGTTATTTGAAAATTAATACAATATTTTTGTCAAAAAATCTTCAAATTTTTTAAGCATAAGAGAGGTTGGGGAAAAATGTCATTCTTAGTCTTACAACAAGGACAAAAATAGAAATGATGCCTGTCTTTGAAACTAAACTTTAAATCATGCTCAAGGGAATGTCAATAGATCCTCCTCTGCACTCACTTCTCCATAAATGAAAACTCTAGCAGAAATCAGTAATGGAAAAACCATCACTACATCATACCTTGGGAAAACGGCCTTCCTGACCACAACCACCTACAAAAATGTTTATAGCTCACTCTAGACTCAATTTAACAAGCACAGTGATAAAGGATCCTATTATGTACATGCACCTAAGAGGAAAAATTAAGTCAAAATGGTTTCCTGAAAAATCCTCAACATAAATAAGTAGGAAAACACAAACTTTCAGTATTTTCACAGTGATTAGAAATTGGGGGTATGGCAGATACAGAGATATTTTAGAAGTTGCTAATCAAGCATTTAATATGACCTTTTTTTTTCACCTATCACCAAAGAAAGTAGCAACAAAAGGATGCTGTATATTTTCACCTCTTTCTCTCTCTATAAGGCAACAAACCTTTTTAGCACCAAAGCCCAGATGGTCAAATCAAAATGGAATTAAGTCACAATACTTTCACTTAGTGTTCTTTCTGGTTTACACACCATGGGGAGAAATGAATAACAAAATCCTGTTTCCAATATATATTCAATTGTTTATTTCAGGGATTCACTTGCACAGTCTATGTAGGGGTAGATAGGTGCCACATGGGACAACTTCTGCCATGTTAGTCTAACATATCAGCTTTTCCCTTCAACCAGTGAGAACTCAGAGTCTCTCATGCTACATCTCTACATCATAACATGTAACTCCGGAAACCCTACTCAATGGACAGCATACACCTGGTAATGGGCAGCCCAGAACTAACTTTAATCCTAATTGTAACTGTTTATACAAGTCTGTGAATAGAAATCTTCAATGTCCAGTCAAGTATCACTTGACAGTATAAGTTTTCATTAACTGTTTTATTCCTTTTTGGTTAAGGGGGTGGGTGGGTGGCTGCCTGCAAGATCCTACCATGCAGTCATTAAAAAAAAAAAAAAAAACCACACACACAAAAACTTGAGAGTGAGATAAAGTCATTTACTATCACCTGGGATCAGGACACCAACATAGATCTTCTATCTTGGTGTCCTCATCCCAGATGTAGTGTCATGTTAACCTTTATCTTAATAAAAATCAGGAGGGCACTAGGCTGATTCTTAAAAACCTGGATATCAACACATTTTTAAATTATTAGTAGGTAAGTTTTGAAATGAATATTTGGGAGAAAAGTGATGAGAACTTGCACTACAAATGAAAATGCAAGTTCAGTGTAACTTTCAAGTTACTGCAATAATATTAATTAGAAGAGTAAACAGCTTGCTTGCATGTCTAAGTTTTCATTCTGTATTTTGAATAAGAGGTTTGTACCAATAAAATAGAGCAACCTCATTGTGAAATGTGCAATTTCTGGGGTCAGCTTGTATTAATGATTCACAGGGAATTAATGGGGTAGCCATTGTTAAGAATAGCTAGTGAAGGACATTGAAAATTAAAATCAGTCTGCATTTGCAGACAATTTTAATAATCAATGCAACAAAGCAGAAGCAGTACAAATGATATTAAAAGATAGGCTAGATGCGCCTGCTAAGAATGAGTATATGAGAGACAAAGTTATAACTACAACAAATAAGTTTCCTTGTTTATCAGGACAGATCAGAGCCTGGAAATTCAAAGCTCAGTTTACAAAATGTTTTTTATAATTCTACATAGAACTAAGAAATATAGACACTCAATAAATTGCAAGTGTCACATCAGTGAATGGATAATTAAAAAGAAAATGTGCAAAGAGTTTTGAGATTACATCAAGAAATTGTCACTAGGAAACTCAATGTGAGCTTTACTCAGTTTATAAGTACCTATTTGTCAAAACTTCCACAGGTGATAGTTACTTAGTAAAAGTCTATACAAGTTCAGATGTAGGAAATAGAAAGCATCAGGATAGCCAAATATCCAAAATTAATTATCTTACATTATAATAGTTTTACTATTCATTAGTTATCAATATTTTGCCTGATGTTGGAATCATTCCAACACAGAAACGGCCG